ATATATGTCACACATAGGGGCACGTAATACTTTTTTCCGAAATTTCAAGTCGATAAAAAGTTTTTACTCATGGCTACATGTTTTACCAGTCGTTTTTGTAAAAAATATTTATCCTATAAAGAATTATATAAAATTAATTTAAATTCAACGCTAAAGTTATTAAGAACTAAGAAAAAAAAACTCTGTTTCTCTTTTTCCTTTTTGTTAACTTTTCTTTTTATCATCGTTTTTATTATGACACATCATTTTTAAAAGAGCGTTTTTAATAAACTTAATTTTTTATTGTCATGTTTTTTCTAAAAATACTGCAATGTGAAAAGGTTAAATTCTTAGTTCGTTACATCCCTATTTTAAACTTTCATGTTTGATGAGACAGCTTAATTCTTTTTTAAGAAGTTACAAAGGTGAAATTTTTTTCGTGTTGCATCTTAACCAATAAATTTCGCATTTGCCTCATCTAATTCGATTCAAAAAGTTTCTCACTAAATTTTCTTTAAATCACATATTATAATGTACATTATGAACTTAGCTTCACCTTATTTATTTTAATCCATTTTTTTTAATAGCTTACTGTCAGTAAGGAAGTTAATATAACTTAACCTAATAAATAAAATCACTGTAATTTTTTTTACTGAAACAAATATTAAACTTAAGAAATATCTATTACATTTGTACAGATATCCTCCTCTCAGAGTAGAGTCCGGAGACAATTGAAATGTAAATTATAGTATGAATTCACTAGTTGAAATAGGGGCTATGTAACATTTTAAATCAAAGGAAGCATAAGAGAAACGATTGCATATGCGAACAAAGCCTGGCGCCGATTTTTTTTACATAGATATTCCCCGCGTCGAAACCAACTCTATCAATCGTCCTCTTATGATCAGCGGGCGGTTCCCAGTTAATGTTTCAGTAAAAAAAAATCTATTTTTTATTGTTTATAGATGAATCCTCAATACACCGTTCCTACTATCGATGATAATGGGTTTTATCTGTACGAAAGGTAAGTTTTTGATCAAATATTGATATTAAAGTGTTTAATAAATATTCGATGTTGTTTGAATATTAAAAATAATAGCTGTCGTCCAACAACTCATTCATTTCTAGATTGCAATTTTTCAATCTTATTTTATATATTAATATTAAATGTAATAAAATCAATTTAAAAAACATTATTTTAAAAAGTTCGGTAATTTTTTTGTTGTTGTTGTTTTGTTTTAAAAAAATCGAAAAATTCGCAAATTTGGAAAAATTTATGTTATTATTACTTTAAAGAAAAACTAACAATGAAAATTGACAAAACATATCAAATTAATATTAGCTCTATGTAGTTGCGTGTGTTTCTACGAAATGAAAACCGAGTCAGTTACACCCCTAACATAAGGCCTTACCAATTGGGTACTTGCAACTCCAGAAGATATGAAGTGATTATATTTAACCATGTGATTTAAATTGGATTTAATTGGATACATGTAAGCGACATCACGCGTAAGTGTCGAACCTGATTGGCTTCTGCATCGACAATTACCACGATTTCCTACGATGACGTCGCTTGTCAGATATCCAATTTCACAGACCTTGCACAACACTGTTAGAAATTTCTTGGAAAAAATGGCTAAATAACAATTTATTGAATGGTTATTTTACCGTATTTAAACAAAACAGTCAAATAACCGTCAATAATAAATAATAAATAAAATGGTAATCAAACTGTTAAGTTTGAGAAAAAGTATTTATTAACTGCTTTCGCCTTATGCGTTTAAACAACCAGAATTTTATCGCACCTACTAGAACCATCTAATGAAGCTACTTAGTTCTTTGCAACTGTGTACATACCATAGCCGAGAGGGTTTGTCTGTCAATCTCATGACCGACAAAACTGGAGTTGTCTTGGTGCTGACACCACAATATTTCCTCCATTCCCATCAACACATGAAGAATTTCCAGTGTTCGGCACTCTCCAACGCCCATTACCTTACGAAAAGCCGAGCTCCAATGTCTAGTTTTTTTTTAAATGTTTTGAAAAATGCTAGTTGTAGATAGTTAAAAAACCGTATAGTTTTGTAATTATGGTCTTATAACCATACTATTTGTAATTGGTTACAAAACCATAAAAGTAAAAAATGTTCCTTATCGTAAACTGTACGGTTAATCGGGTAGACAGACAGCTGCCAGTTATTTTACCATAATTTTAGAATGAAAATTCTAACAGTGTAGACGAATTCAGAGACATGGAAACATTTATAATTATCCTATCCTAGACCACCACCAAACCTTCGTTATCATAGATAGATGTTCCGGATATTGGAAAGCAAACAGTGGGTTCCGATAGTAAGTTCCTTATTTTGAATCTATGGAACAAAATTAATTATAATATTTCAAAGAAAAAAACTTTCAAGCCAACAGAGGCGTTAATATTTTTTTTCAATCATACTCTGGTGAAATTAGTGCTTTATGTGCAAAAAACGTGATGAACGATAATTAAAGCTAGCGGCTGTCCATAAATTATTGATGTTCAGTGCGCAAAAAAAAAAAAAAATATCGTCACACTTTGGATAACTTTTGATCTAATGATCGGATCTTTACATTCTATGACTGATTCTTAATGGTTCGAGCGTTCGACCTCAAATATGCTAATTAATTTGTGCAGGCGACATTTTAAATGGCGAAATCAGACACATCAGAACGTACTTTCTCTGAATAAACGTACCTTCTTTTTTCAACGGGTTTGGATTTCTGACCCCCAAAAGGTATGAATAAGGTAGCTGCAATCTGGGAAATATGGTCCCCATAGTTTGGTCAGGAGGGCGATCCAAAGTCGATGTTAATTTTACTTTTTGCGTATTTCGCCATATCTCGAGAACTTTTTAAGCTAATTAATGAATAACTTTTTTAATGAATTATTTTATGAATTTTTTATGAATTAATGGATTTAAAAAGTCGAAAAGAGAAGGTAAAGAAGAAAGAAAATTAAGCGAATTAAAGAAGTCGTATATTTAAAATTCGATTTCTCAAGAACTTTATAACCGGTTTCGCTCAACGTTTATATTTTGCCATGTAAAAATTATATACTTAAAAATGATGTAAAAAATTTTATACCTTACAAATCAAAATGTTTCTGACTACTATTTAATAAAGTAATAAATTTTTACTAATTTTTTTTTGCATGGAATAATCTTTGGATTAACAAATTTTGTAATTATGTGCGAAAACTTTTCAATTCTTAAAAAGTTCTCAAGTACGCAAAAAGTAAAATTAACATTAAGTTGTCCAAATTTTGGATCGCTCTCCTGACCAAATTATGGAGACTGAAATTCGAATCCGTTTAAAAAAGTTGTTCATTATGTTTACTAGGTTATGTTTATTTGCACTGCTTATGTAAGTACGTTTTTGTGTCTGATTTCGAAACTTAAAATATCTTCAGCACTATTGCACATTTGAAGTCACCCTCTCGAATCATTGAGAATGAGTCCTAGAATGTGAAGATCCAATCATTAGATCAAAAGTTATTCAGGGTGGGGNTGTACATGTCATAGCAGAGCGGGCTTGTCTGTCAATCTCATGACCGGCAGAACTGGAGTTCGAGTCCTGGTGTTGACACCACAATATTTCCTCCATTCCCTTCAACACATGAAGAATTTCCAGTGTTCGGCACTCTACAACGCCTATTACCTTACAAAAAGCCGAGTTCCTATGTCTAGTTTTTTTTAAAAAGTTTTTGAAAAATGCTAGTTGTAAATAGTTAAAAAACCGTATAGTTTTGTAATTATGGTCTTATAACCATACTATTTGTAATTGGTTGCAAAACCATAAAAGTAAAAAATGTTCTTTATCGTAAACTGTACGGTTAATCGGGTGGACAGACCACTACCAGTTATTTTACCATAATTTTAGAATGAAAATTCTAACAGTGTAGACGAATTCAGAGACATGGAAACATTTATAATTATCCTATCCAAGATCACCACCAAACCTTCGTTATCATAGATAGATGCTCCGGATATTGGAGAGCAAACAGTGGGTTCCTATAGTAGGTTCCTTATTTTGAATCTATGGGACAAAATTAATTATAATATTTCAAAGAAAAAAACTTTCAAACCAACAGAGGCGTTAATATTTTATTTTCAATCATGCTCTGGTGAAATTATGTGCAAAAAATGTGATGAACGATAATTAAAGCTAGCGGCTGTCCATAAATTATTGATGTACATTGCGCAAAAAAAAAAAAAAAAAAAAAATTATGGTCTCACTCTGAATAACTTTTTGTCTAATGATCACACATTCTATGACTGATTCTTAATGCTCCGACTGCAAATATGCTAATTAAGTTGTGCTGGCGACATTTTAAATTGCTAAATCAGACACATCAGAACGTACTTTCTTTGAATAAACATACCTTTTTTTCCCAACGGATTTGGATTTCTGATCCCCAAAGGAGGTAGCTGCAATCTGGTCCCCACAGTTTGGTCAGGAGGGCGATCCAAAGTTAACGTTAATTTTACTTTTTGAGTATGTCGCCATATCTCGAGAACTTTTTAAGCTAATTAGTGAATAACTTTTATTGGATTAAAGGATTGTGGATGATTGTGGATAATTGGAATTAGTGGATTAAAGAAGTCGTATATTTTAAATTCGACTTCTCAAGAACTTCATAACCGGTTTCGCTCAACGTTTATATTTTGCCATGTAAAAATTACATACTTAAAAATGATGTAAAAAATTTTATACCTTACAAATCAAAATGTTTCTGACTACTATTTAATAAAGTAATAAATTTTTACTAATTTTTTTTTGCATGGAATAATCTTTGGATTAACAAATTTTGTAATTATGTGCGAAAACTTTTCAATTCTTAAAAAGTTCTCAAGTACGCAAAAAGTAAAATTAACATTAAGTTGTCCAAATTTTGGATCGCTCTCCTGACCAAATTATGGAGACTGAAATTCGAATCCGTTTAAAAAAGTTGTTCATTATGTTTACTAGGTTATGTTTATTTGCACTGCTTATGTAAGTACGTTTTTGTGTCTGATTTCGAAACTTAAAATATCTTCAGCACTATTGCACATTTGAAGTCACCCTCTCGAATCATTGAGAATGAGTCCTAGAATGTGAAGATCCAATCATTAGATCAAAAGTTATTCAGGCGGGGGGGGGGCCGTTTTTTTTTCTGCGCACTGTACAAGCATGTATCATTTTCGAAATGCGTATCAAATGTAATGTATTTGAAAATTTTTGGTATTTTACACTACGACATATTTTGTGTTATTCTGTGCCTACTATACATTTTCGTGTATAGACATCTGTAATACGAAAAATATTTAAGGCATAAAAACACTAACAACTGATTTGAAATCGGCGTTAAAAAATACACTAGAATTAATATTTATAGTTGAAAATATTAATATAATTTCCTTTGGAAAAATTAAACCAAACGCGAAAATTAAGGGAAAACTTAGTGTGTTCATGATTTCTACTTTCGTTATGCAAAAAAGTACAATTATATTTACGAAAAAAACTCATGTGGAATAATCATGAGTGTTTTTTATTCTGTACCTTTTAATTGTTAATTAATTTACCCATTTTAATAATTTTTTTCGGGATCATCATTTTTATCATCTGCCACCACTATGCAAAATAATAAAACTACGATTACGAGAAAAACAAAAAACAAAAAAAACTTCACATTGCTCAGTCGGACTAAGATTGTTTTTTCCTCTGTATCTTTTGCATTTAATTAATTTTTCGGATTTTCATTATTCTTTTCGGGATCATTATTTTTATCATCTGCATCTGCCACCATTATACAAAATACTTTCTATCTTTTCAAAAACTATGTTTTCAAAAGGAAAATTACATTGTGTGGGTGACTAATGTTGTACCACTATACAAGATACTGAAATTATGTTTTCAAAAATGAAAATTGTACTGCTTTTGTAGAATATGGTTTTTTCTAATCCTGTACCTTTTAACTGTGATATAATTCGCGGATTTTATTAATTTCCTTCTGGCTTATCAGTCTGATCACCTGTATCTACCACCAATTATCAAAATACTAAAACTACGTTTTCAAAAAAGAAAAAAATTGTATTGTTTGCATATATTAAGGTTGTTTTTTATCCTGTACTTTTTAATTACAATTTAAGTCTCAGATCTTAACATTTTTTTTCAAGATTATAATTTTTATCACCTGCATTTGCCACTACTATACAAAATACATAGACCACGTTTCCGAAAAAAGAAAGAAAAGATCTTAGCATTGCTCATGTGGACTAAGGCTGTTCTTTATCATGCACCTTTTAGTAGTTAATTAATTCGTGGATTTTAATGTATAGATATGTATATTTTTAGGGGGGAATTATCATTTTTATCACCTGCATCTGCCACTACTTTACAAAATATTAAAACTACGTTTTCAAAAGAAAAAAAATCAAAAGCACATTGTTTAGATATATTAAGGTTGTTTTTTTTTATCCTGTACCTTTAAGTTGTTAGTTAATTCGGAGATTTAATCTTTTTCGAAATCATTTTTATCATCTGCCTCTGCTACCATTATGCAAAATACTAGAACTACGTTTACGAAAGAAAAAAAAGCATAACATTGCTCATGTGGACTAAGATAGTTTTTTCCCCTGTATCTTTTATATTTAATTAATTCGAGGAGTTTAATAATTTTTTTCGGGATTATAATTTTTATCACCTGCATCTGCCACCGCTATACAAAATACTAAAACTACGTTAAGGTCTTTTTCTTCTCTTTTGCTTTACAAATGTCAGTGAATTTACAGTTTATAATATTTTTTTTGTGCGGAGATAATGGTTTTTAAAGCAATATTTTAATTTTTAAAACGTTTATTATAAGTAACCATTCATATAAGTAAAGTTGCTGTTATTTAAGTAATGAGAAACAGTTAGAAAATGATTGATAGAGCAACTAAAAACGTCGGAAGTTAAATAATGAGCTATTTCTTTCAACTACACCCATCAAGTTACTAAGCAGCGATGACAGCACTTGTCATCTATGAGATATAAAATCGATTTCCTTTTCTTTATTATGCTTGTTTCAGAAACATTTGCATACAGTAATCTACTTTAGATAATGAGATTTTTGTATAATTATGTTTCAGTTTATATTTACCACATTACCAAAATTTTTCTAATGCTGCAATATGAACATGCATTCTAAAATACAATTATTTTTCGCAAATTTTAAAAAGTATGATTGTTATTTTTTAACTTCGTCAACAAAATAAAATTTTCTTATCTGGCAACTGAAAAAAAAATGTTTTTTTTTGTCAGATATAAATGAGATAACGGAGTGGAGAGAACTCGATTTTTAACTTTATGAAAAAATATTTGCTTGTTATTTTAGTTTTAAAACCGATGTTAATATTTCAATCCGAAAAATTTATCTTACGAAGAGCTGTGGTGGGTCAGGAGATAGAGCGCTCTCCTTTCAATGAGATAAACCGGGTTCGAATCCCAGCGATAGTGGGTCGATTCGAATTCCGCAACTGGTTCGCTACACCCCAGACCACAGTGCTGGAGTAAAATATCCTCAGTGGTAAACGGATCATGGGTAAGACTCCCTTTGCTGTCAGGCTAACTACGGGAAAGTTTCGTGGTTTCCCCTCCATATAACGCAAATGCAAGCTACTTCCATCAAAAAGTCCTCCACGCAGACAAATTTACTTGGTCCAGGAGTTCCCTTGTCTTCTGGATTGGGTTCAAAATTACAAAGGCTACGGGGTGAACATTAGTAGTCGTAAACTCAGAACAAGCCAGGCTGTTTAATGATGGATGTGAAATCAAACCAAATCAAATCAAATCAGATACTTGTGTTCAAGGAATAAAAGCTACGCATAATGTTTATTTAAAATTGTCAACGCATAAACTGTTATGTTGCTTAATTCGAATTTAGGAAAATGTCACTGTTTTCTTCAGATCTTTCATTATAAATGCCCAAGAAACATCTTTGAACATTAGTAGCCGTAAACCAAAAATTGGGTCGGCTGTTCAACGACGGTTATAAAATAAAATGTATCTTAAGAGAGTCGCAGCGGATCAGGGGATAAAACGTTCTCCACCCAATGACGGGATGCAGGTTCGAATCCCAGCGGAGGTAGGTTGGTACGAATTCCTCTCACGGCTCGCACCAAACACAGTGCAGACGTAAAATATTCTTAATCTTAGACTGATCATGAGTTGGAATACCCTTGCCGTCTTGCTAACCATAGTGGTTTTCACGATTTTCCTCTCCTTGTACCGCAAATGCGCGTTAGTTCATTCAAAACGTCTTCCACGTAGGCTAGTTTGCCCAGTGCTTGATCCAGGAGTCTCCTTGTCTTGTGGATTGGGAGCAAAATTACAAGGCTATGAAGTTGAACATTGAACTCAGTAAACTCAGAATTGGCTCGACTGTTGAATGCTGGTTGTAAAATAAAATAAAATGCATCTTAAGAGCTGTGATGGCTCAGGATATAGAAGAGCTCATCCTCCTATGAGATGACTCAGGTTCACATCCCAGTGATAGCTTGTAAATTTGTAAACTGTTTCTAGTTTTCAGGACAGTGCTGATGAAAAATAACAAATAGACTATGGGTTTGAGTTTTCTTCATCGTACTAATAGTAGGATTTTCGATTGTTTTCCTTTGTATCTAATTCAAATGCTGATTAGTATCTATCAAAAAGTTATTCATGAAAGCAAGTTTGCTCCAATAATGCTTGATCCAGGAGTTCCCTTGTCGCATGAATTACGCCAAAAAATTACAATGTTACAAAATTAAATATTTGTACATTAGCAAAACCGATATGAATCGGCTATTCAGCGTTGGTTACTCAATAAAAAATATATATCCAAGGAAATTTGTAAAAATTCTGGGAGAAACATTTTAAAAATTCGATAAATAAATTCTAATTAAAAATCTGAAAACGTGTTGTCATAAACACGTATGAAGGTCAACTTCTACTTTTATATTTAAAATTAGATCTGTTACTGCAACAGTTTACCTCAACACATCGCAGACATTATTCTACTATCGATAGAGATATTCAGAGAAAGTTTTTCGACGCCTGTTTATTTAAAGTCAAAAAGATGGAATAAAAGCTATGTCTTTTTTAACTAATCCTCTGTTCCTTTCAGTCGAGCTGTTTTAGCCTACATGATGAATAAATATGCTCCAGATAGCCCTGTTTATCCCAAGGATCTATTTAATAAAGTAATNAACTTTTTTTGTAATACAGATATTGTAATACTGTATTTATTATTAAATTCTACATTAAATTACCTTCAATTTGATATATAAACGCTTGTATTTAAGTGAAAATTAATATATTCTACAAGCACACAAAGTTGAAAAACATGAAACTTTCAAAAAGTGTCCACACTTTTGGCCACCACTGTATATATATATGACTTAAAGTATAAAGATATAAAACTTAAAATGTGTAGGATATACAATGGAGTTAAAAGAAATAAAAAAATAATATTCGTTCATTAATATTAAAGAGTTAACTGTTAAACATGATGCAAAAATACCAGACAGACACAGGAATGCAGCTAACAGAGTTGAAAGATGGCGTCCTGAAAAGGTCAGTTTTGTTTAGGAACTTAACTCAAGCATTTTTTTTTTAAAAGAAGAAAAGAAAACGAAAATTGTTGCAATATTATTTTATTTGTTCGAAAATTGTTGCAATATTAACAGGGTTTTTTTCGCGTATTTTATCTAATTTTTCTTTACGTTTTGTATATTGCTGCACAAGAAATGTAAGATTTGAAAATTTTAGCTTACGGTGAGCTGTAGAAAAATATGTAGGGAGTACGGCAGAATTAAAAAAATTTCAGATTCGACGATTAGTTCCAGAATTATTAACTGTCAAACTTGCTGTAAAAATACCATGTTTGGTCGAAAATACCATGTTGGTTGAACTGCAACAACAAAGTAAATATTTGACGTGCTGAAATAGTCATTTTTTATCTGTGATTTAAACGTGAATTGGACATTGGAAATTCCATTTTTCTCTTTAGTTATTATAAATGTGAGCACTTTTTCACCCTGTGTTTTTTTTTTTACTTTCAATGTTAATCATTTATCTTTTGTTGACTATTTATCCGTTTATCCATCAGTTTTAATAAATCAGGATTGATTGAGCTAAACTACCTAAATAATTTTGTTGACAGCGAATTTTAAATCAGTGTGAAAGAAACATTGTATTAGTTTTTCTTTTCTTTCTTTTTTTAATGTTACTAAGTTGATAATAAAATAAAAATAAATAAAATTTTCTTTATCAAATAAATCAAATTTTTTTATAACAAACAAATTTTACTCCATCATTTTATTTATTTATTTAAAAACAGTTCTTTTAACTTCAATTTAAAACTTCAAAATTTGACCTCGAAAAAGGCTGGAACGCTCAACAATTAGAGAACGGACAACAAATAAAGAACAATTTAGATGAAATTGGAGAGGAATCCTTTTTGTTGACTTGCAGATTATAACCAGCGCCGAGTAATGCGAAAAAAAAACGTTTTTTGAGTTTTGGGGCCCTTGCAAAGTTTTAAGTTTTAGACAAAGTTTAAAAAAAGGTTATTAGGACTTTTTGGAAAAGGGAGGGGGGTGCAGTTCTCGGCGCCCTATCTAGCTAATACGAAACTCTGACCGTGTGCCGTTGTAACTGGGGCTCAGGGGCGATCTCAATTTTAAGTCTATAGTCCAGTGTTTCCCAACGTGGGGGCCCACGCCCCACTGGGGGGCAATTTGATTGTTAAGGGGGGCGATTCGAAAATGGGCTCGATAACAACTCGATATTGTCTTAACTTGATATTGTCGATAACAACTCACCCTCACAAGCGTATATAAACAGTGTCGGAGGAAATCAGAAAATATTGCTGCCTACTGCTTACTACTAAGTGACAACCTAAGGAATAAACTTTCGAACTTCGAAAGTAAACTAATAAGAATGATGCTAGGAGACACACAACCTATTAGCAATAAATCGCTCAAACATATGATTCAAAAATCAAAGACATTGACTTCTTCATGGCGAAGCTCAACTCCCAATTCTACAGTGACGACAAAGGCTGTACTACCTCCTATTTCAATCATTTATTTGAAAAAGAAATTATCAACGATAATGCTAATTATAGTCCAATAATAGCCTTTTTAACATCTGACGGCTTTCTGTCTAAGCATTTTAGGTAGGAAACCCTTTCACACACACAGATTAAACACTAGGACTGTGGCAGACCTGGTGATGGAGCAGCCCTCTAGCAGGGTCCGATCGGGGCGAGCCACAGAACTGCTAAATATCGAATAGTGACCAATCCGGCCTCGACAGGTACTACCGGGACGGCCGGGTCACTATATTAATAGAGGCACACTTTAATTTGTCTATATTCCTGTATATATTTGTTTATTGTGTATAATTGATTTGATTTTATCACCATTTTTTAATTTTCCTAACTATAGGATTTTAATTTCACTAATACTATGTTTTATCATAATCTTATGTTTATTGTAAAGTGCAAACAGTTTTATGCCTTGATGCATAGCCTGTGCTATGATTTCCTTTCTTGACAAAGTAGATCTCATGACTTCTCAATATATGACATGATAGTTTCGATGAATCGGTCAGCGAAGCTTCGCGCTAAAGGCCGAGATACCACCTATTCCCAGCATCGGAAAACATTGCAGTCGTTGGCTTAAGGCAGAGACGGAGTGATTTATCCGACGTCCAAAAGGGCATGATCACTGACTTTCGGGTTGAGGCATTACCATTGAGGGCGAAACATTTCCAAAACTTCTAATTTTACAAACTGTTCGCCTTCCGTAGTAAAAGTATGCCATCCACGGCAAAATGACACCATCCAAAATCAGCAACATAGCAAATGTGGTTCACCACAAGCCGTAGATATCGGAGGTGCATAACGGTTGCGGAGATGCGTTCGGACGAAGAGACGTGCAACCGCTGAACAACTGACCCTCCAGATGAACCTAGGGACTTGAGTCGTGGTGGCGCAGGATATAGAACGTTCACCTCTAAATGAGGTGAGCCACGTTCGAATCCCAGCAGTGACTGATTGACTGCTCCCGGCACGCACCGACCACAGTGCTGACGTAAAATATCCTCAGTGGTGGACGGATCACGGGTTAGAATCCCTTTGCCGTCGAGCTAACCATTGGATGTTTCCGTAATTTAAAGGTTAGTTGGTCCCAATGTTTCATCCCTTATCTTCTGAGTTGGGTTCAAAATTACAAAGCTACGGAATTGAACATTATTAGTCGTCAATTCGGATTGAGATCGACTGTTCAACAATAGTTAAAAATTAAAATAAAACCAAGGGGTGGGATACCAACAGTGTATCTTCAACAACAGTTCAGCGAATATTGTTGTGCGACAGGCGCCTGATTAATGTACCGATTATGACTGCTGTTCATCGGTTACGAAGTCTGAAAGCAAACAACTGTTATCGGAAGAGGGTCCAAGCTGGTAGAGGGAACATTATGGTTTGTGGAATATTTTTGTGGCATTTCATGAATTCACTCATTGTGGAAGGCACGAAGGATAAGGATAGTCGGATAGTCGAAGGATAGTCGTGTCCTTACGGACCATGTCCACTCTTACATACGAATTTTTCCTCAGTATCAACCATCGGGACATGGTGACGTGTCATGCAGCTTACAGTGTACGTGTGTGGTTCGAAGAGCGCCAGGACGAGTTACCGTACTCCCCTGGCCACCAAACAAATACAATGTAGAATCTGTGGAATCACCTCGATCGGGTTGTTCGCTCCATAGATCCTAACCAGCGTAACGTCTCGCAGTGTTCCGCTATGTGTAAGGTGGTCTTGTTTTTATGACAGGTGGTCACATTAAGGCAACTGGACTCTTTGAAGTTAATTTCAAGAAAAAATTCGATTTTTTTTCAAAAAAAAATTAATAGAAAACCGTGAAAAAAATTCGAATAAAAATTTAAAAATAGGTTTGTAAATTGCCCGAAAAGGGTAAATATTCACCTTCATTAAGTTTTGTAACTGATAAAGACGCTGTTCATCTACAAATAAATAGAAAGATGTATTTAGAGGTAAAAATGTATTTTTTTTTATATATATGTGAAAATAAATTTATTCATATACAAAAAGAATTCTTTTAACAGTGCATAATTTCTAAGTTGGTTACTTTTTTTTGCTTTCAATTATCTTTTAGGCACCTATGGCGTTTAGAAATGAAAGCATTTGAAGATACTTTGGTATTGTTGGACGATTTTTTGAGCAAAACGGCTTACGTCGCTGGAAATCATATAACCATAGCAGATTTTGCTATTGTTTCAACCCTAGCTACCATACAAGTGGTAAGTAAAAGGAAACTCCTTTACCACTAGTTCGATTAATAAGAAAAGTTATATTTATCTCTTAGATTTGATAGCAAAGTGACATTCATTTGCTTAAATTTTTTAGAAATATTTACTTCATTAGATTTGTTAGACAGCCTTTCATCCCTTCAGAGGGTCGATAAATGAATACCAAGCATGCTTGGGAAATTAAACACTGGGGCTCCGAGTTCGGTTGACCACCTGACCGGAACATCTGCTGCTGCACCTCAGAGTCCTAAGTCAAGAAAACTGAGATGGGCACATTAGGCCTTGGCCCTCTACGGACTGTCACGCCGCTGAGTTTAGTTTAGAATTGTTAGAAAAGATGCATTTATTTCATTAGAATCTTTAGAAAAGTTATATTTATTTAATTAGATTTGTTACAAAATTACATTTATTTAATTAGATTTGTTTTAAAAAGTACATTTATTTAATTATATTTTGTAGAAAAATTACATTTATTTAATTATATTTGTTAGAAAAGTTAGATTTGCTAATTAGATTTGTTTGAAAAGTTACATTTACTTAGATAGATTCGTTAGAAAAAATACATTTATTTAATTAGATTCGTTAAAAAAAAATAATTTTTTTTATTAGATTTGTTAGAAAAGTTACATTTATTTAATTAGATAAGTTAGAAAAGTTACATTTAATTAGATCTGTTAGAAAAGTTTCATGTATTTAGATTTGTTAGAAAAGTTGTATTTATTTCATTATAATATTTTTAAAACCTCTATGTTGAACTTTAGAAAATATCCTTTCAACAAATGTAGTTTTTTTTATTATTAAAAAATTTAAATACTTAAAAATAAGGATAGTTTATTCCCCCCCCCCTATTTTAGAACATTACGAATTGCTATAAGTGGCTTTATATCATATTATTATGTTTATTGTTCTTTGATAAATTATAATAAAATTTTCCCCTTTTATTCCTAGTTTCTTGATTTTTCATTTGACAAATACCCAAGAATATCTTCATGGATGTCTAAACTAAAGAAAGAAATCCCATCTTATGAAGAAATCAATGAAATTCCTGTTAAGAAACATAAGGAATACTTATTAGCAAAGAGACTTCAATCTAGCAGTACTTAAGTATCGAAATAATAACATTGCTGAATTGGAGTAATGAGAATTCTTTGTTAATATTCGAATATTTGTTATTCCATTACTTTATTTATAATTTTTTGTGGGTTGTGCAATAAATCGCACACATTTGTTGCGTTGAAAACTTTATATTATATTAAAAATAATTATTAAAAAAAATTCAATTTACTTGATTTATTTTTTATTGCTTGAAGAATTAAGTTAATTAAAAAAAAAGAATTCCAGATTATTCAAAGTTAGAGGGTCAGAAACCCATAAATTCATCCAAACAAAAAAGGTACATTTTCTTGTCTGATATCGCATCCAAAAGTATCTTCTGCTGTATTGAATTAGATTTCGAAACGTTTTTTTAAAAAATGTTTCTGAACATTTTAACAACCAAGTTCTGAAGTAGTATTAAAGTGCATTAAAATTGGTGGAAGTTACTTTGAAATATGTTAAAAAGGGTGTGCAATTAACGTAATATTTTATGGTATTAGTCCTGTAATTTAATGGCCACCACTTATAGTGGGTTGGTTTTAAAAATATCTATGACTACAAATACAACGAATACAATTCAAAAAGCAATTAAAAATTTTATTAAATTTATAAATGTTGCGTATAACAATCAAGTAAATTTGTTCGCATTGAGTTACATATTTCCGTATAAAATTGAAATAAATAATTAGGCCTTTTTCTCCGATTCTCTGCTTTTTTTGTAATTGTTCATGGGAGTTTCGAGGGTCTCTTTGTACTTCGGGATTTCGGCTCTCATCTTGCTCATCCATGCAGTGATTTTAGGAAATGCAGAGAAATCGTAGTCGAATGTCTGCAAAATAACAGATATGATAGATACAACGTTTATTGAGTCACAAAATTCAAATAAATATTATCCTCATTACACAACAGCAAATGGGTTGAGATCAGTGGTTAGAAAAACTACATTATTTTTGTCTACAACTTCTTTGGAATTGAAGTAATTACTTCAACCCTTTCGAAGGCCGTGGTAAGTATACTTACCCCCACTTTTTAAAGTCCAGAGTGAACTTTTTTACCACTTTTTATTCAGGTTTCCATTTGTTATTTAATTCAGCTTTCATGAAGTGCGTTTGAATAAAATTGGTAACCATTTGTTAGCTTAAGAAAACTTATAAAAGTTATAAAACACATAACTTATTTTGAAGTTTGTAACATTCATAAAATTTATCTGATAAATACCTGAAAATAAAAGTTAACAAGTTACTAATAGGTCGTGGTAAATAAACTTACCACCAAAAAAAAAAGAAGAAAAAATGGCATTAATTTAGATTAATTTTTTATGAGCTAGGTGAGTTATTTTTTCTTATATCAATTTCAATTCCAAAATTACATTAATTTACCCTTGCTAGAAATAAATGATCCATTAAAGGGTTAAGCAGACGAACTTACATTAAATGTAAGAGAACAGTAAAGAAATATTTATTCATGTTAACATGAGCTAGTTTGTTATTCGAAAAAAAATGTTTTTTTTCGAATTTATTCATTTAACCTTCAACTTTTTATGCCCTTCTCGACAGCGAATATTTCATTTAAGAAATGCGAAATTATCAAACACTTCGTAATTGTTTAATGTTCTTCTATTTCCTTTAAGAAACTAAGTACGTCGAAAAATACGTTCCCATCCTTTGAAATAACATCAATGCTTAACTCGTGCATTTATGTGTGAAAGAATGACCCAAGTGATTAATCATCAATTTTTCGTAATTGCTAGTTTAAATATTAGATGTACGTGATTGCTGTTAACGCTCTGCGGCAGCCATAGGGTCAGTTTCATTGCATCCATTGATGGGCCTGTGATGATTTGTACCGTAGAGCTGATTTGTACCGACTGATTTGTACCGTAAAAGTAGTTGCCAGGAGTCGCTACAAACAACTTTTTTTTCATCACACTCCTAACTACACTACTTTTTAAAAAAGTAGCACACTACACTACAAACTACGAACAAAAGTAGCGACTACAGTAGTTTCACTACTTGTAGTGCGCAACCTCTGACCACTGGTTAATCTAATGATCAGACCTTAATGTTCTAGAACTTAATCTTAATGGTTCGAAGGGATGACCTGAAATATGCTAATTAATTAATGCTGACGATATTTTAAGTTCAGAAATCGAACACAAAAACGTACTTTCTCTGAATAACTAGTATTAAATTAAGTAATAAAAAATATTTACTACAAGTTATATTTTATAAGAAACTATCTTTAAATAAATGAATTTTATAATTGTGTGCAAAATTTTTTCGATTCGCTTAAAAGTTCCCGAGATATAGTGTTTGTAAAAAGTAATATTAACATTAAGGGTCTAAACTCTAGACCACTGTCTTGACCAAACTACTGGGACCCTATTTTCAAGATTGCGGTCACCCCCTATACCTTAGGGGTCAGAAATCCGAATCCGTTAAGAAACAGGTACGTTTATTCAGAGAAAGTACGTTTTTGTGACGGATTTCGTAAATTAATATCGTCTGCACTAATTATTTAGCATTTTAGAGTCAACCGCTCGAACCATTAAGATTTTTCGATTCGCTGAATTTCTCAAAATAACTTTTGATTTTTTTCATAACTTAAAAGATTATCAGCGCTAAATACGTAGCACATTAGGTCACCTCCTTGAATCATCAAGATTGAGTTCTAGAGCGTGAAAATCCGATCGTTAGATCAAAAGGTATTTAGGGTGGGCCTTTTCTTTCAGCAGTGTGCCATATTGTTTCGAATTAACTCTTCGCAGGTGGATCAAAGCATAGAATAAATGCTATTTGTATTCAAAGTTATGCATTTGATTGAACATTCAAAAGTATGTCAATTTGGATGAATTTGAAATAAATAAGAACATAGATTGTTACAAGAAACACGTATCAAATGCAAATATTTGGATTATTAAAGTATTACAAGCTTCTCAGAATGTAACATTGTTTAGTTCAGGTTTGATTATTCATATTGTTTAGTTCTAGAAGATGTCTCTTTATTTTCTGTAGGATAACTTTGGAAAGAAAACATTAAGAGCTCATCATTTAAATTAAGGATCACTACAAAATAGAGCACAAATGACGTAATTAACAGAAAGAGTCTATGCAGTACATCGCCTCCAATTGCGACATAATAAGCATAATAAGAAGAATGAGAAATAACATGAATACTATAAGATCAATTAATCGAATAGGAACATGAATTAAAAATTGATCAGTAAATACAGCACTACAAAGACTCTTTATGGTTTCATCATCACTTGCTTCTAAAAATATCGCTAACTCAGTTTTTTTGTACTACTATACAAAATAAACCATAATGAACCCCCTTAATGTCTATGTATTTAACCTCTTTACTACTGAAGTATAAAGGAATGCAAATTTTTTTTTTTTAACAATACATTTCTATTTTACTGCTATAAGTCATAATAAGATTAACACAATATGAATCATACTTGCAGGTGGCAAATAGTTTTAAGTACACATACGATACTAAGAACAAACATGCATATTGTTATAGTACGGTCTGTTTAAATAAAATGATGAATAGATTTATTATTCATTTATTTCGGAAAAAAATTTCGAAGTTTTCGAAGTTCGAAAAACTTGTCTTATATACTAGATCCAGAGATGCCAACTTGCTCCGGACAGCAAATATATATATTAAAGTGGTTGTTTATCAATTGTGATTCCTGGTTTAATAAGTTCAATTTAGTAGATTTTTATCCACCACTATTTCTAAATAATTCATAGGCTTATATAATTCACCACTTTATAGTACCTATGTTATACTCACTCTAACCCTGAATCGACGGAGCCATCTCCACCAGCCAAACCCACTTTCCTCACGAGAAAACTTAACTTTCTCGTACGGGGACTTAATGTAGACCACCGTACCGATGATCTTCGGAGAGATATTTCCCCTTTTTCTAGTGATACTTCAAGATTCCCTAGAGCATCGGGACTTCATCAACACGAAGTATCTTCTATCTCATCCTGTCCAAATAGAGAAATTTCATGGAGGGCGTTACGCCATACAATGTTACAAATGTCAAAAATTTGGACACACTCAAAAATCATGTTCAAATGAGCCAGCATGCATGAAATGCGCAGGAGCGCATTTCAGTTACCAATGTATGAAGCCTCTCTTCCTTCCTGCCAGGTGCATAAACTGCCAAGGTGATCACCCGGCCTGCTTTACGGGCTGTGGTGCTAGGCCAAAAAGACACCAGCGCACCTTCACGAGAAAACCTCAAGATGCCCCCAGCAATGTAGCTAGATTCCTGAACATTCTCAAAGAACTCCAGGAACTGTTGAATGACGAGAAAATAGTCGCTCTACTCATCTCCTTGCTCCCAACCCAAAAGATGTAGATATGGAGCCCCACCATCATGCCTGCTACACCTCACATGATTTCTTTCTTCATTTTTACCTCATTTCAGGTTCTATTCCGAGCCTACATCACATCTTTCCTATGTATGTTCCCGTCATGGGATATTTCAAGATGAATGGGAAAAGGGCCATTTAGGCCTCAGATGCCCAGTTCTACAACAACGAACGAACGACACTAAAACTATTTAGTTATACTTTGAATTAATATTGATTATATATATGATTAAACTAACAATAATTAAAATAAAAGCAAAGTAAGTCTGTCAAATTAGTA